CGTTTCGCCGAGCAAATATACTCTAAACTTGATTAGCGCGTAAAGCATAGCCAAAAGTTCCTTGTCGTGTACCAGATAATTTTTGCTCGGCAGGTTTCATCTGTCGTGATTGAAAAATCACGACGCGCTCTCGACCCTCGTCATCAAAATTGCATGAGGGCACATCCTATAGCGAAATTGCTCGCGTCACATACGACGTGGAATGGCTTGAAGTCATCAGGTGGCATCAGCACCGGTGACTGTGACAAGCTCTTCTTCACGGAGTCGAAGGCACATTGATGTTCTGCCGTCCATAACCATACTGCGTCTTTATTGAGCAATGTCGATAATGGCTGACCTACCTCAGCATAGTTCTTCGTATACTTACGCAAGTAATTCGCCAGACCGAGCCACTGACGTAATTCAGTTTGGTCTCTGGGCGTTGGCCAGGAACAGATCGATGAGATCTTCTCAGGATCAGCGCGGACACCTTCCTTGCTGACGTAGCAACCGAGTACTGGAATCTCGGGAGCGCAGAAGACACATTTCTTCAAATTAGCATACAATTTATTCTCGCGCATAACTTGAAATACCTGCTTCAAGTGTCGAAGGTGTACCTCCGTAGCGCTGAGCTTTTGCTCAGCGCGGCTGTGAACGAAAATGTCGTCAAAGTAGCTCGGTGCAAAGTCGCGAAGTGGACGAAGTACTTGTGTCACCATCCGATTGAACGTAGCTGAAGCGTTCTTAAGATCTTGTGGCATGACTAACCACTCCCAAAGCATCCCGCTTGGGGTGCTGACCGCAGGGAACGGAATGTCAAAGTCCCTCATGAGGATCTAATATAAGCCGTCTGTCAGATCTATGGTGCTGTAGATCTCGCTCCCGGACATGGTATTTAATACCATGTCTTTTCGAGGGATAGGCGTTTGAGCCGGGATCGTGGCGTCGCTTAGCTTGTTGAAGGCGTGCAAAATGCGCCAACCGCCGGTGGCTTTCTTCACACAGAAAGTCGGACTCGAATGTGGCGAGATACTCTCGCGGACATGGCCAACCTTACAGCGCCTCTCAAAAAATTCATCAATAGCGAAGACTTGATCACGCGGTAACGTCTACTGCCGCTTCACGCAATACTTCGATCCTGTCACGAGATCTATCTCGTGCCGCACTCCACGATCCGCTGGAAGCTCAGCTTAAATTTTGTCCGAAAAAAGGGTAGGCGTACTCACGGGCGATATCGTAGACAGGTTTGCCCGAAGCACGAAGAGCATCCCAAGACTGTGCCGCGAATCGTTCTTCGCGCGCTGATTTAGGCTCGGCGCTCGTCGGGCGAGCCTCCAGAACTTCTTCACTGGCTGCTTCGGTGGCTGAAACGATGCACACTTGCTCGATGTCGCCGGCCTTAAGTTCATGAAGGAAGTCTTTTTATGCAAGGTCTGGCAGAGATGTGATATCTGCAGCAGTGCACGGTGGGATCGCTACCTCAATGTAGCGGCCACGATGTGGAGATCCCTCCACATATTCAAGCGCGCATACGGATTCCGCCACTACGGAATCATCTGTATCAGCTTTTTTACGTGAATGGCGTCGTCTCGGCGATCGGTGTGCTCCTTTTGCGGTTTCTCTTGCGTCTCGAGCTCCTGCTAGAGACTGGCACGTCGCTATCACAAGAGGATGATGTGCCCCCCTCGAGACATGGGAGCTCTGTCTCCACCACTTCGGTCTCATGCGGATCCATAGTCCGCCCATTCTCGTCAATTAAAGGCGGGAGCTCGTCGTCGACCCCCTCCCTTGTTTGCGGGAGCCTCTGCTCAGCCGATGTGCTTGTATGCGGTAGCTCTTGCTCAATCGCCTCGATATTGATCGGAAGCCGCTGCTCGTCCGGGGCTCTTGTATGCGGTATCTCCTGCTCGACCGCCTCGATATTAATCGGGAGCCTCTGCTCGAACGCCTCGTAGTGATCGGTAACCCAGGTTCGACTGATGTTTGCGTATGCGGGAACCGCTATTCGACCGCATCATTATGTGGCTCCATCAGGGTAACGGAACATACTGCGCACAGAGGGCCATCGCTCTCTCTGTGTTGACTACTAGTCGTGGCGAGTTCGTTCACGACCCTGACGTGAGGCCAATCGGATGAAGCGACCAACAAATGAGTAAACACTTCACTGACGTCATAACCGCTTCGTCGTTTGACGGACCGAGATAGCCAATCTATCTTCGGCTAATACCGTGACAGCCACGGTATCCCAAGTATGCAATCAAATGCATATTTCCTCTCGTACACCAAAAATGCGTCGTTGCTCTGGAAACCGTCGAAAGTGTACGGTAAAACCACTGTTTTACGCGGGACATGTTTTGGTTGTCCATCGGCAAGTTTGACAACGATGTCACCTGGACCTTCTCGAACCGTAACAGTCGACAGGAGAAGGGAAAAACAGGATGCACGAAAGAAGTTGTTGGAAGCGCCAGAATCCAACAACGCTCGAAGCGGTCGCTTCACTCCAGCGACGATGAGACTGATAATAATCAGTCTCGAATCATCGCGCATGGTGGTGGCATTGATGTGAGTATGGATCACTATAGGGATAGGAGCCCGAGCTGCCACCTGAGTAATCGGGGCTCCATTTCTGCCAGTAGGGCGCCCCACGCCTACTGGAACCGCTCGTTTTTTGGCGGGACCACCGACGACACAGCATCTCCTCGTGAGACAGCTCTGTTCATAGTCACCGGCGCAGGTGCACGACAAACAGCCGCACGATGGTCTGTTTTACCACGGCGAAAACACTTCATCGTGTTAGGATTGCGAATGTCGCGGCCTAATGATTTGCCGCGACCACGAGAGGACTCGATTGCATCAATTTCCATTGGCTCTGGGCCAGACGTCCGGGGATGTGGTGGCGCTGCGTTCACGTACGACGACGCGACAGTGTAATCCTCACGTAGCGCGAGGGCAAATGACTCCTCGAGGGACTTTTGCCCAGCACGTGTGAGGCAGTAACGCGTCATGCCCCCTTGCATACCAAAAATAAAGACATGGACTTGTGAGGCCATGTCAATTGACTGCGTAGTAATACACGAAGAAAGATGACGTGTCTTCTGCACGTAGTCACGCATCGACAGCTTGCCCTGTCGGAGTGAGAAGAAATCTGCACGCAAGCGAGATTCATCTTGAGGAGGCTCGAAAGCCAGTCGTAAGTCACGCTGGATATCGTCCAGCGTGGAGAACGCCGACTCATCTACGACGATCTTCTCGAGAGCCCATTCCTTGGCTTTACCGGCAAGACGAGACAACAGGAAATTGACCTTGGCCGTCGGAGCGTCAATTAATCTTGACGCTATTGCAATATCCACCTCGCGAAACCAGCGATTGAGGGGGAGACGATCCGGACCATCACCGGAGTACGTTGACATCTTCATCTTGATAGCATCATGGTGCGAAGTGCGCGAGGGAGTCAATACTCGCCGATTCGCTTCGGCGAGCTCGCGCACCATAAAGTCTCGGATGGCGGCACGTTGATCATCGGACGTCGCTGTGCTCAGCAGCGACGTCACAATAGTTTCACCAGACACCGCCGCGAGGCGATGTAGTGCCTGCCACTACACCGAGGCGAGATGTGGGAAGTCATAATGCTCCAGCGAGAAAGCTAGAGACACCAAGACTCGTCCATGTTCATCTCGAATCTGGTCATTGGAAAGACTACAAAGTGCTACCAGGTGTAACGGACTAAGGACCCGTTACCGTCTTACACTAAAAGGGCGTTAAGGAAGCGCTCTTAATTAACTCGTAAATATAACTCTGTTTTATTTTGTTTTAGTTATAATCCGCAGTAAGTGCGAATATGTTCCCTAGCTCATGGGAACCACTCAATATGGAAGTCAATTTATTATTGGCTAATTATTGGTTCTGGCACCCCAATAATAAAATGGCGCGCAGTATCCGCTAATCGGATACTGCCCTATGCCTACTTATATAATTATGTATTAATCCTATAACTACGTATGTAATAGGTTGCCCCATTACACTTCCTCGCTTGTGCTGAAGGTGAGTGCTAAGTAATACGAGGCAACTTGGTAGAAATGCCCGTCTACATCCACGATCGCTTTTGTAGTTAAAAAACTAATTGTCCATCTCGTTGCTTGTATGAAGACTTGCTGACGATTCTATAGCCATTTGCAGCGGCTTCCATATTCATATGTTCTTGCATTATCTTCCGCGTAAATTGCTTGTATTGCTGCTTCATGTTGCTGTAAGTGCTGAAATGTACAAATATGCGAGGGCGTAGTTATAATCGAATTTTTTAACCTGTGATTGGCTGGGTCAATTGTCTGTGGCCCTAGTAGTTTTGTCTGTAACCTTAGTATTAACGTCTGTGGCCATAGCGGTTTCCTTCTTTTATATCCGTCTTAAATTTAAAACTCTATAATATTATAGAACATTACCATCCTCAGAGTAATAATTTAGACAGGCTGCTGTACCGATGCTTCCGTCATCTTTTCCGCAACTGAGATAAGTTAGCATCTAAACGATTGGTGTCATTACGAGCCCCTATCAACGCATTCGCTGATGCTATTTCGGCAACACCCAAGTCTCTTCCACTAGTGCTGAGCAGGTCTCCGTCTTTGTACCTTGTCGCACTTGTCTTCATCTGCAGAGACTCAATCTTCTTGCTGCAGTTTATTAAAATCAAATAATGAGACTGACCATAGCATGGCGACGTAGTAGGTCACTGTTTGCTAAAGCGATATCCGACTGATGGAAATTTAAGCGTTCTGAGCTATTATCGTCTCAATGTAAAGCTTTCTGTATGGAGTAGTACCGCCTACTGTCGTACTGGCTAGTTCAGTCAAGCAAAGGCACATTATGGAGTCCCATGTTCAATGGAACATCAGAATTTAAGACGACTGCATGTTCACAGTAGCTCAATCAATCTGGGGCCACATCATCAGAGAATACAGATGCACTCAAACTGTTTGCAACTGTATCCGCTTGTCGTATCAGCCGAAATGCTTGCTATCAACCTTTTACTCATTAAGGTATTCAAAGACTGCACGCAAGTCCTGACGCTATTACATACAACTAATAGGAAAAACTGCTCAGGCCAAGAGCACAAATCTCGCAAAGTCGATTGATCGGGTGAGTGCGATGCATGGCAAACGGCATCTTACCCTTGATGTCCTTCGTAACATGAATCAATCTCTTGCCTGTGGACAAGATACGGTCCTGCAGGATTGATAATATAAATACACAAAAATAAATATGTTCGTCACCACGACACATTTATAAATCCAAGTTACGTCCAAACTTCCATGAGCTTGCTTGCTACGTAATCAATCGACCCGCTTCTTAACGATAAACCGGACCGTATCACCTTGCTCGTTGTAGCCCATTTGTCGAGTGTGCATCAATACTTTTGCCAGCACGGGGATCTTGAAAATCAGAAACGGGAACGAGAAGAGTCCATAAGCGGTACGAATCCAATAGAAAAGTGCCTGACGCTGCCACGGTTCAAAGGGTAACCAGAGCACAAGACCCGCAAGGGCCATAATAACAATGAAGGATACGGTCTCGTACCCGCAAAACTTCACAAGATAGCCGCCACGATTTAAGTGCACTTCGTTACCAAATGCATCGTGAAATACACCACAATCTCGTAGATCCATTAGTTTCGTCCGATACAACGTAGTCTCTAGTGGACGCTTCGTGTAAGGCAATCGGAAAAATGCCGCCCAGACAAGCACAATCTGCAACACGAAAAAGCTAGCCGTCCCCTCACTCAAAGAAGGACCACCTCCATCTTGGCAAGCCAGCATGGAGCCTTGCACGACACACATCACGTACATACAGATTCCAAACATCATGTGCATAATGCCTAGCGTAACGAATTGCGCCGCCTTAAACCCCACAATAAACTGACACAACTGGTGTTCGTTCGTCTTGTCCTTTATCATAAACAAAAAAATCCACCACAACTGGCCCACTGCCGGCAGAAGACCCACACTCGTGTACGCTATCCACCAAGGGTCCTTAAAAGATCGCCAAATAGTCTTATCGTGTGGAAACAAGTGATGCAGAATATGTCCACGAAGGTGGCGAAAGAAGCAAAACCTTTGGTTTGCGACTGGAACGACATTAACATCTCCTTGTCCGCTCGGCAAAGCACTTTCACCTCTACTCTTGTGACTATTGTCAATTTCCTCCATTTTATTCGTCGGTATATCTTGACCAAACAATTCACGCGTCTTACGAAATATCTCTATCTTGACATCCGGCATAAACTGTTCGATGGCAATGTCAATATTTGACTAGTACAAAAGTTTGTTAGCATCGATTAGTCCATACCTCTAATCCATACTGCATCCAATATTTTTCACCTTGAGATAACTCGGCATATCCGGATCTTTTAGTGTTTGCTTTAACCTCGTTGCAACAATATTCAGCGCACTCTCAAGTACTTTTCGTACTGTACGATGCATGGCAAATTGCACCTCGTCCTTCGTATCCTTTGCAATATGATTCAATCTCTTGCCAGTGGATAAGATCATAGTACTTGTACTATCCATGAATCCACTCCAAGTTGTGGACACTCGTTTCGCCGGATCTGCAGCTATTTCTGCTGCCTCCAACACCTGTTTTTCTGGAAAAATATCGGGGAACACACGTTTGTATTCCTGTGCAAAACCCTGTACGTCTCTCAAGACCAAGTGGTCAATAGTAAGCTCCTCTTCCGTGTTTTTCAAGTCATTATTGTTGCTACGAACTAGACGCCGCTGGTGTTTCTTGGTCAAATTGCGCCAGAATCGCCGCATCTCAAGCCGTTGCTGGTTTGACAAGTACGGCATATTTTCCATCGCCTGGAAGAATAATTCCGTACTTACAGGACGCCTTGCAGACTCTATTTCCTTGTCTTCCATCTTTTCACGCTCCTGAAGGAATGAAAAAACGATCACACCGGCTGACATGGCCACCGCACCATATACGACTCGCAGCATTTTTTGATAATGCGTTTTTTTATTATAATACGGAAATAGTGAGGGATAACCAGGTATATGATAATAAATTAAAAAAATATAATAAATAGGGGAAATTATATTTGCCCCCCCCCCTCTCTATCCGGACTAATTTATATTATATGCAAATAGTCTATACGATTGATGCCCCATAGAGTGCGTGACCCTGTATACATTCACAAACTCCTCCCGCCCAACACCTCAAATTGAACAAAACATCGCACCACAACCTTCTCCCGCAAGTTACAAAAATTGAGTGGTGCGCCAGTGTTCAACTGTTCTAAGCTTACTGCGTTGCTGTTGCTTTGACGATACAGATGAACACTTCAAAAGAAGCTGACATGTGCTACGCTGGCACACACCTTCAAGCACGCGAGGGAGCGGTAGAATCGTCTACTCTCCGAACGCGGTGGTGGGGTGCTTGGTCGACCGCTTAAGCGGTCGTACCAATAGTTGCCGGTCGACGAAGCGAACCGCGCAACGAACTTTTAGCAAGAGATTTACTTGCACCACGCAGAAGCCTATTCAGCTTCTCGTGGGCAGCTAGAGATAGGTAGCACATTCAAGACTGACGTATACATAATCTAAAATAACTAATATCACTAATGATTGGTGAATATGTAAAGATCGATTACGCGTTTCTTGAGAAGTGTAATCTTACGTGCGAGAATAAAATATATTCAAGCTCGCTGATGACGTCCGTCTGAAGCGCCAACTTGACGCCTAGTCCCAACTGGCATCATTCCCGTTGAATGTGAATTCATTTATGGATATCACATTCACGATGGTCGGTCACATTGATGTGCCACACCCAAGTAGCAGGCCTAACGTACCGCGTACCCTTTTAGACCTGCCCGTTAAGTATCGCATACCTAACGAACCGTGTAACTTTTAGCCCGATACACCATCCCCCTCTTCAATACTATTTTTACATCATGTAAAACATTGAAAAGCGAGGATGCCGCCGAAGCGTGATAAGGCTGATGGGTCGCCTATTATGGCGCCCATGCAGACTAGCACTAAGGGTTGCGCCGCGATAATTAGCAGGCGTTGCTTAGTGTCTCTGTGAAAACACCAGCATCTAATGCCAGCTTGTTAACAGAGAACACCGATCCATCCCACCATTGTGTGGATGAAGCTGTCTCTCATTGTAGACTAGAATGAGAGCCCGCCTTGCCATCACTTCAAAGTGGTGATGAGCACATTGCATAGATGGGACATATGTATCCATCATTTGAGGTACCTACCCTTCAGGAAGCTTCCATGCTTTATGACATTGAGGCTTATGCCTCGTCATCTGCTCCGATAAGCGCAGCGACCATAATTGAGCGCGCTGCTTCAAAAGAAACGGCCGCGGCTCAAGCTAAATCGTTCACCTCTGTTAACCGTACATCTGCAGTCTTGAAGATAATTAATGGAATGTGCCCTAGTAACACTGTTATTTAAGCAGTGGTCATGACACCATAGGTGTTAAGGAGGCACGGCGAGGAATGCCTGTGCAGCTTGACAATAACACTTAAGTATTGTCAGCAGCGTCGACAAAAACCGACCTCTTGGAGGTAGGCTAGATGCTAAATGCGTGAGCGAAGCTCGGCGTTTTGTGAATGTGTAACGGGATCAACGTTACACGTGCCCGTTAAGTATGCAGTTCTTTACGGGCAGGTCTAAAAAATGTATGTAAGTACTAAAGACCTGTCGCTTGGGTGAGACTTACCATGTGTGTATGTGATATACAGTAGGTGTATCCACATTGATGAGGATGACGCCCGACTGGGACTCGGCGTCATCAAATGACGTCAGTCAATAACGTCATTGAGCGAGTTTTGATATATTTAAGCTCGCACGTTGGGATGCGCATCTATAGAGTTGGCACCCATCGTTACATAATAACCAATCAGTAATCAAATTTATATTTAGTTATTTTTTATTAAAATATTAAGCTGTCTTGAATTTCCTACACAAATTTCAGTACGCACGAGAAACTGAATAAGCTTCTGCGTGTCGTAATTGAAGCTTTTGTATTAATAGTTTGTTGCGCGGCTCGCTCAAAGCGACCGGCAACGGTTATTACGGCGCTTTTGCGCCGACCAACACCTCCACCATCGCACGCAAAGGTAAGACGGTCTAATTACTTCCTCAAGCTGCTCGAATTGTATGCTCGCGTATACGTGGCAGCTTCTTTGTAGTGCCCGTCTACAGGATAAACGATTCGCCATCACACGTTAAGTCCGAGACGCGACGGCAAGCGCACAGAATAAGCAATAACAATATGCGGACCAACATGGTCAAAAAAAATGATGAACACTTTAGTGTTGGGGACAAAGTGCTATTGAGTACTGAAACCCTAATCAATTTCTTGTACTACCTGGAAGTATTGCCCCGATTTATCGGGACATTAACGGTGGTCGAGGAGGTTAAAGACCTAAATTATAGGCTCGCTCTGTTGAAAGAAGTCGCTCTGTGTGAATGCATGATCGCAAGAGTTGTATTGAAGATGCGAACGGTCAGTATCGGGCACGCTGAGTTCCAGTATGCAGCGAGAAGAGAGAAACAGACGACATACGGCAGCAGTCGCGATGGCGTGTGCGACGCCGAGAGTGAGTAGTCGCGATGGCGTGACGTGAGCAGTCGCGACGAATGGAAGGATCGCGTGCCTGTTGGATCGAATGGTGCGAGCGCAGTGAGAAGGTTGCATGAGTGGTCGTGAAGAGCTAGCGAGCGAGAGAGACTGACAGATAACGAGCGCGGAAAGCTGTGTAATGAATGCCAGAATCTATTTTGCCTTCTAAAACGCACAGGTTATGAGCCCAATGCCTTGCTTTGAGACGAACGACACGCCAAGCACTGCAGCACGCGTCGCTGACGACGATCACGAAAGGGCCGCCGCACCGACAGCTGCAGCTGCTGCTACACCAGCTGCGCCAGCGGCTGAGATGGTCATCGATTTTTCCGCTCACGAAAGGGGCGAGAACTCGGACATTAGCGCACGGATTCTCACTGCTCCCGAGAACATGACGAGCCGCATGGACCGACTTTAGATGTCGCAGATGCAAATCGATAAGAACGAGCGCATACGCGGCGCCATCGACAGTGGACTGTTTGACTCTGCTCTCGGCAGAGGGATTGGTGGAGGACCAATGAACCGCGAAGCACTCGGGTTCATGCCGCCAAGACGATCGCCTGTGCCGCAAGAAGCTCCGCTGCCACGTCTGCGAGCTCCAGTTATGGGACAACCGTTGTTCGAGCCTCTCGGTTTGCGAGTACCGCAACCGCAGCAGCAGAAACAGGCCCCGGCGATGCAACAAGCCTACGCACAGCAAGAGTATGCGCCAATGCAACAACAGGCAGCGACAGCACCAGTTGCTGCACCTGCGCCAGTACTGCAAGGGTATTGGACGCCGGACGCGCGTCAGCGCAAACTCGCAATACGAAAGTTTGACAGCTCCGAAATGTATCAAGGACTCGGTGCCGGCTTTCAGGACTGAAGACGCTCGTTCATCCGTGCGGTGAACTTCTCACAGGCGGCGTGCGGCTTCCCGTGGGCTGAAGATGTCAAGGTTGATCTCTTCGGGCATTACTTTGGCGAAACCGCCAAGCGATACTACAATAAGCAAGTCGATGTTTGGTAGGAGCAGCTCCCGACGCTCGACCACATCATGGAGCGCATGTACTAAGCGTTCCAGAAGACGATCACAGCGTCGCAATCGATGAAGCTGTTCACGGTAAAGAAGGACCACAAGAGGTCGTGGCCTGAACACTATCTCTACATGGTCGCAGTGAGCGAACCATGTGGAGGAGGCGCCGAGGCGTGCGTACTTGATAACATAGTACACTATGCGTCGTCGGATCTGTCTACTGTGCTCATGGCGAAGTTTGACGCAGGACGCATCGACTACTTGCGCAATGCTGAGTAGCTTGCGCAATTTGCTCAAGCAGTCGAGGTCTACAGTCGTGTCGGCAAGTCACTGGGTCGCGAGGTCGTCGCAGTCGCAAATGACTCGACAAAGCGCAAGGAAACGCGCACGTGCCACACCTTCAAAAGAAAGAGGCATTTGAAGAAGCACTGCCGCTCCAAGATTAAGGAGAAAAAGGGCAAAGACGACAGCCGAGCAGGTGCGAGCTCTGACTGTATCCTTGACAGAGGCGCCAGCCGCCACATCGTGAGCGAAGATCGTCTACTCATCGACAGCAAGCAGTACAACGATGAGATCTCTCTTACTGACAACAAGAAGCTCGTGCTCACGAAGGTCGGACGGGTGCGCCTGTTTGTGACAGCGCGCGACGAGCAGCGTCAGATCGAGCTGTCGGACGTTTACTACGCGCCAAGTCTTTCGCACAATCTCATCAGCTACGGGAATTTTGAGCACCTTAAATACGCATCACACGTACACTGAAGGTGGGCGTAAAGTCGTAAGGCGATTGGATGGACACGTCGCGTTTAACGTTACGATGCGCAATAGTGTTCTGGTCGTCGAGACGTCCAGCGCGATCAAGTCAGCAGATGTGATCTTTGCTGCTTTTGAGGATGAGGAGACGGCAGATGTGTCGCCCGATGTGCAAGAAGCGACATTTGTGAACTTCCACCAGAGATTCAAGCATTTGTCGTATGACATGATCGAGAGGATCGCGAAAAACCCGGGCAGTGATATTTGCATCACGGATAACGTGCATCACGTGTGCCCAGAGCAAACAGACGAAGAACAGCCATAGCAAGAAGGACACCAATGCACACTTTTTAATTAATCGTGTCGGCGGAATGATATGCTACAATCTCAAAGGGCATTTGACACCGGCTGATCGCTTGCGGAACCGCTATCTAGTTAACTTCGTCGATCATTAGATTAACTACAGCCGCATCTTTCTGGCTAAGACCAAGAATGCCGCCGCAAGAAGTTCGAGCATTTTCTCGTATTCTTCGAGCGGAATTTCTAATTGCAAGGTCGCCGTGTTGCGCACAGACGGGGGGGGGAATTACCAGAACG